ATTGTGTGCCTTGTTTTATCTTGATGAGAATATATTGATTTTTACTCTTTGCCTTTGCTGTTTACATGCTTGCTGCTGCCTTCCCCTAGGCCCTTTGTGTGAAATATTTTTGGTGAGGGTTGTTTTTATTGGATTATATTCAGGGTTAGAATGGAACTAAAAACCTCTCCTGAACTTTCTGCAGCTGTAACACGAGTTTGTTTTTCTTTGGATTAAACCCTTTAGATAGCCTGTTCCCTTCGTAACTTTTGGATCCTTAGCTCAGAGCCAGCCCTGCATAGAAACCCTTTTTTTAACCCCATGTCCGTTGGGCAAGGACATGTGAAAGCCTCCACTGCTCCTCAGGAGTCCGGTTCAGGTTTCTGTGCTGAAGGGTTTTCTTTCAGTAGATCAAACCCTGAATGTATGAAAATAAAACAAAAACCCATCTGTGTAGTTCCTTGATGCTTTTTACTCAGGCTGCCCTGTTCCCATCTTCTAGATCCCTCGTCCTTTAGCCACCACCCCGTCTGCCGCCAGCCTTCCCGCTGTAACTCCAGAGAATGTGCCCCAGGATGACTTTATGGTTCCTTTGGTACTGAGTTTAGCCTCGCTGACCTCTCGGACCTCCATGAGCATCATCGTTGTTGGCGGAGTGGCAAGTAGCACTGGCAGCATTCCCTGTGCTGGAAGGGATGGCAGAGGCCAAGCTGGCCTGTCTGGTTGGGGTGCAGCACAGAGCCTGTCACGGACTTGACACTGGGCCAGATGAGCACATGCAGTGCTCTGGGTACCCACAGTCAGTCTGTAGTGAGAGAATCAGTTTAGTTACTCTGAGGAGAGCTGGGCATGTTCTCTATGCTGTAGGTCTGTGTTCAGTGTCTGAATTAAATGGCGATTTAACTGATTCAGTTTGGATTTAGTGGGAGCTTTGCTTCCTCCTTCATGAAAGAGCAGCAAGGCTTCTGTAACCCGCACATTCTCCATGCCAGTGAGGCCAGCTCATGGGAATGTAGCTGTATTGCTCTGCAGTAATATTATGGAAACAATATATTTTCTTAAACTAATCCGGTGAAAGGGGCCACAGAGATGATTTTTTTAAAAATGGGTGGAATTAGATTTAATTCTCTGGGGCAGTTTATTTAAGCTGAAGAAGATTTTCCTTTTCAGATTTGGAAAACTGTAGGCTGGAAACTGATCTCGTTGTCCCTGAGCATGTACGGGCTGTTGTACCTGTACGAGAGGCTGACCTGGACCACGCGGGCGAAGGAGAGAGCCTTCAAGCAGCAGTTTGTGAACTACGCCACTGAGAAGCTGCAGATGATCGTCAGCCTCACCAGCGCCAACTGCAGCCACCAGGTGCAGCAGTAAGTGTCACATGGGCTGTCCCCAAGCTGGGACAGGTGTCTGTCACCACGGGGCTGTGGGGACTGGGTGTGCATGGTGAGGGGAGGCACCTTTAGTGTCCCTTGGCATTTATTATGAGGGAGTTGGAAGAGAGTTTAAAATTACCACCTGAAAAGGCCAATAGCTGCATCTCTGTGTGTGGCTGTGTGTGCTGCTCTGCAGATGGTGACTATTTGTCCAGCATCTTATGGTGGAGACGTGGGAGTTTGCTCCAGTGGATTGTTCTGGCCTTGCAGGCCTTGTAGGGGTGAGCAGAGCTTCTGCCCCAGGGGTTGGGATGGGCAAGTTCTGAGTAGCTAGTGCTGATTCTTCTGCACTGCAGAAGAGGAACTTGACAGCCTTTCTGAACTGTTGGATTTTTTTTCTGTGTTCTCTTTCCCAAATCTTTCCCCACCTGTCTCTGCAAAGTAATGTCTGGCTGATTGTCTCCCTCAGACACTTTCATTGAAACAATTTATTTTGATTAAATTATTATTTCAGAAAATTAGGCCTGCTGATGAGACCTAAGCCCCAGGGTGCAGAACACCTCTCCTGTGTAGCTCAGGGAATACTTTACTAGTACAGAGTTCAGCTTCAGCAGAGGAAAGAGACTCATCCCCGTGTCCAGCAGCTGTGTGTCTCTGTGAGGACATGGAAGAGCTGGACTCAAACCAATGCTCCAGTGAGGTGAAGTAGAGAGGGGAGAGGATTTCTCCTCTCCTGGGGGACAGCCTGAGTGCTGGCCCAGGGTGGTAACTGGGTTTCTTTTCTGTTTGTGTAAGGAAGAGTCTTGGAAATGGGGTTGGGAGCATGTGGCTAAGGGGACAAGTAGGATGGGGTGCCTCAGTGGGCAGGTCTGGGGCACAGGGCTGCTCCAGCACCTCTGAGGCTAGCCAGAGCCCCATCTCAGGCTTGTACTGTGGTTGCTCTATGCAAAATGGCCAGACATGATGTTGGTGTAGACTGAGGTGCATTTGGCATGTTTAAGGTTTCTTTTTCTAATTTAAAAAATGCACAGTTCTCCTGCTTTCTGCTATCCTGTAATCCCTTAAGAGCTGGAGGCCTCGATTTCTGTGTTCTGCACACTCCAATGGCACATGATTTTTGAGTTGTTTTCTTAATTTTTTTTTTGGTATCATAGACTTCCCTAAATCATGATTACGAACTTGTTTTCCCTTTAGGGAAATGGCCACTACCTTTGCTCGGCTCTGTCAGCAGGTGGATATTACCCAGAAAAACCTGGAAGAAGAAATTGCTAGGCTTTCCAAAGAAATAGATCAATTGGAGAACATACAGAGCAACTCCAAGCAGCTGAGGTAAGTCTGGGTGTGACTGACCAGAAGCATCTCTTAGCCCTGCTGCCTTCACAGTGATCCGTGCCAGCTCTTCCTCTGGAGCTGAACTAGGCTGGCTTAGGTGCAGAAGGGTGTGCAGAGATACCTTGAGCAGCTCTGGGTAAGTTAAATAAATGTTTGCTGCTCTTAGTGAATCAGCAAAGCTCCAAAAATAGTCTTTCTTTGATCATCTTTATACCCTTGTCTCTCTTCAGTGTATGGGAGAGTGGCCTTTCTCCGGAATTTTAATCTGTAGGTAGCTGAGGTTGGCACCTTCCCAAAGCGCCCTCCCCACAGTAGAGCAGGGGAGCAGCTGTGCTGTGTTGAGTCACTCGGTGCAGTACTGGTGTTCTAGTGCCAGTAGTAGGTGTTTGCAGAGGAGAAACTTCCAGCAGTTGGTGCTTTAGGGATTTGGAAGCAGCCTCAGCCGTAGTTTCCTGTTCTTTTCCCCCACTGTAAGGCTGCTCTGGCTCTGGGCTGCTGCCTCCTGGCCTTGGGCATCCACCACCACTGTGGGTGAATGTCTGGCATGCCCCACACACCCCTTTGAAAAACCTGCATTTAGGTTGTCGTAGTGCTGCAGGTCTCAGTAGAGGAATAGAAATGAAACGCAGATGTTCCTGCACTGAAGCAAATCCCTTGCTTTTGTTTTGCAGAAATAAAGCCATTCACCTTGAGAACGAACTAGATCGCTTCACAAAACAGTTCCTTCAAAAGAGTAAATAAAATGTCCTTGCGAACCTTCCCAGTGATCCTTTGTAGGGCAAAGTAGAAATTTTACAGGTGACACTTCTCCTCTGTGGAGCCACATGAAATGATTTATATTTTAAATGTTACTCTGATTACACTTATTGTAAAACTTGGACTGTGATGGTGAACCAGACTGAAGAGCTGTGCTACTCCAAGTGTTACATTTGTTTTGCAGATTTTGGGTTAAAAATTATCTTTAAACACTAAATTTCTTTGGGCACTTGACAATAAAAACCCAAATCCTCACTGGTTTCCATTAGTATGTAGCAGTGGCAACTCTTACTTCCTGGCATCCAGGAGCTTATGCAGGGCTAGAGCTTATCACAGTCATCACTGTCTCCTCTCAGCTGCTTAGGAATAAGCCAGGGATGGAGGGTGCTGCTTTTCCATGTTGGTGTGATTTTGTTAAGTGAAGGGAAGTACAAACTCTGGAATGGGGAAAGGACTCCTGACTTGATTGGAAAGCAAGTGCCAGTGTGCTGGGCAGCAGTTCCTCTTCCTCAAAGGGCAGTGAAAGATGAGGGCAAACTGCATTAATGAAATGCAGTGGATAGAGGGGTATGTGGCCACCACACTTAGCCAGGAGGGCACTGGTTAAGTAAAAATGAACCTTTTCTTGCAGTTGTTAGAGCAGTGAAATGGCCCTTTGCCTGTGAGGGCTGGGCTGGAACCATGGTCAGGTGAGCTGCAGGTCACAGCCAGGCATAGGAGGGTTTGCTGAGATGGTCTGGACTGGATTGGTGCAGGTTGGGTTGGGTGTCAGGATTGACCTAGAGCTCCTGCTGCTGGACTCAGGGAGTACAGGGAGAGATGGGCTTTGACCATGCCCTGACCAGTCCCTTGGTTCTGCTCTAGGTGACACTCCAGGCAGGTGTGCTGGATTCCTTTTTGTTTGCTCATCTCCAGTAATGAAAAGCCTCTTTTTAAAAAAAGGAAAAGTTTCTGCTGTTGCCATCTGCAGTCATTTAACACCTACTTTTTTCTAACTAGACTTTTTAAAATTATTTTAAAAGAAAAACCCTTTTCAGAGTATTTATGTATTTTTATGGCATTTAGTTAACATGACTAAATGAAATACTCAGCTCCAAGGTGTTGCTGTTTTCCAGTAACTAAGGGCTATCTTACCAGGAAATGGATGTAAGATGTAATGCCAGAGGAGTCACGGGAAGACAAAGAACAGTTCCACCACTGTGTTGGGTGTTTGTTCCTGGGTTCTTGGGGGTTTGAGGGACACTGAAATCCAGCTGTGAGTAACAGCCTGGCCGTGGTGTGGTGAGGGCACAGCTGTGTATCAATGCTCTGTTTCTGGAGCATTTTTATTGACATTGTATCAAGATAAAACTTTACATGCATGTGTTCTACAGTTGTTTATTAAAAAAAGTACTACCCCTGTGCTCTATTAAGTTCTTTGCAGCTCTGTCCAAGGTGAAGACCTGCACCTCACTCCCACAGGGAATGCAGATCCAGGGTAGGTCCCAACTGCTGAGGTTGCTCCATCTCCCATCCCGTGTCCCAGGGGCTGCTCTACTACAACACTGACAGGTGATCCAGGATGGTTAAAAGCACTTGTTTATTGGTTACAATATCAACTCATGGCAACATCTTTCACTGAGCCACTGTACAAATACAAAGAAAAAGATCCATCCTGGAAAAAAAAAGCTATAAACAGTTGAGTTCATAGCAAGTGATTTTTTTGTCACAGGGAAGTCTTTTTACAACAGCACTGTTAAAGAACAAATGGCACAAGTCCCTGGTTTTTTTAATAGCTTAAATAAAAGCTTTAAGACTGTTTCTGAATACATACACAATCCAAAGGCAGTGCAGAATCACTTCATAATTGGTAACATTACCAAAGTTTTCCAAAGTAGTCAGCAACAAGTAAAAACAAAACGAAAAAAGCTGATGAGAGATCCTGGGAACTAAAGGCAAAGTAAAATCAAGCATGTTTAGAAGCATTTTACTTTGGACTCCTTTGGATGTAATATGTACTACAAGTGTTCAGATGCTTTTATTAAAAAAAAAAAAGGAGAAAAACACAAAGAGAGCACCATTGTGTAAGTAAAACAAAGGCTTGAAATATCTAAGACTATTCCACCGAAGTCCATATTAGTTAAAACCTAAACATACTGTGTGGTATAAGAATGTCAGGCACATGTAATCTGTTATCAGTTATATCAATTAGTAACACTGTTCACACATTTACCATAACAACACTGCATTAACATTCTGCATGTATTTTACATAACCAGCAATTGGATAAAAGGCTCTGGTGCCTCTGAAGTGTAGGAGGAGTGTGACCAGCATGCATGCCAGAGTACTGGATACACAGTGCACCATCAACCCATGCTAAGTACTTGTACAGGAAATGCTATCTCAAAACCAGCCATTCTGCTACACAACCATTGATACCAACTAGTCCAATTAGCCAATACTCTCACCAACATCTTAAAGCACAGCACTAAACCTAGTGGAGGTGACAGTGTCCTCAGAGAGGACAGACTACAACTCTTGGAATGTTTTCACAATGTTTTCATTCCACCTTAAAGTAATTAATGTGAACTTCATCGTGGGACAAGCGGTTACACAACTGAAGTAAAGAGTTAACTATTTCCAACCCATGCATTACATAAGGACACACTGGGACCTGCTGCTGCACCAGGTCAGCTTTACCAAGGCAAGGTCAGGCCCTGTCCATAGGCAGGGAAAAGCCTATTTATTCTCTGTTCCATTTCCACCGGTACAAATCTCATCAATATACTGAGCTGTCGGCTCTGCCAGGTGCTGCCCCTTCTCTGCAGTTGAGCACGGCAGAGGGTGGTGACGTTTGGAAGGAAAAGGTCTGGAGACAGATGGGAACAGGCCACATTACTGGAGTGCAGAGTGCACATCAGCACAACGCCGCAGCAGCTTTCTCCTCCAGCAAACAGACGCCTGAGTCTACACAGGAACAAGCCCAGGCTGGGCACTCGCCCGAAGGGAGAGCTCTCTATTGCAGAGTTCAGTCTTGTAGGAAAACGCTGACAAGCTCTACCTGAATAAAACAAATTGTTACACCAAGCACATGGCGCTGCTTCCCAAGCCATGACCGACTGCCTTCAGAGAAGAGGCTGGGCAAGAACAACCCAGCCACCATTGGCACAATGCTCCTGGCTACTCCATTTCTTAATGACACAACTTACTTGAAATTCAGCTAAGGATGGAGTTTGGCAACAAACTTTGAAAGCCAGTGAAGATGTGCCCGCTAGTGCTGCCAGACCTACTGTGAGTTTGCTCTCATAGTGCAGTCAGGAATCACAGGAGCTGCACACTCAAGCCCGTGGTAACTGTGGGCACACACCAGTTTCTCTGAGATTCAAACTGGGGTAAAACCTTTTAAGTAAAACCTACAAAGGGTCATTTTACTACCTTCCTTGTATTAGGAGAAGTTTGAGCTTTTACCATTGAAGCCACATCCATTTTATCAGGGGCATCGACCTTGAGAGGTCAGACAGCCGTTTAACAGGAATGCCATTGCCTGTGTGAGTCACTACATGGCCTCACACAGCACCTGTGGTACTGAAATCTGTAGGCTTAAAAAAATGACCCATCTCCAGGGCAGGAACAAAACGGCAAACGTCACCTGGGCAGGATCTGTCACAGGCTTTCTCCAAGTTCCCAAGACGCACCAGATGCTGTTTTCCCCGCTGTGCTCGGGCTTCTCCAGCGTCTCCTCGTGCGCTGACACAGGAGCCCCCTCGGACCTGGGGCACTTCAAACCCAGGGTGCCCAAGGAGCAGAGGCAGGCAGGGCTCTGTGATGCCTTTGGACACCTCAGCAAGTGGTTGGCATTCCTTAGTATTTATTTTAAACGCAGCTGAATCCAACAGACAACAGCCATCCAACACTGACAGTGAAGTTATTTGCAGTAATAACCTTACAAGAGCCATTACCACGGTTACAGGATACCTGAACTGGTAAGAAAAGTTATATACAGCTGTAAAATTGGTTTTGGAGTTTCACAAGTAGAAACCAGTTTTAATACCAGAATGTAAAAATGGCACCTGTCTTGGCAAAGGTGTTGACTAGGAAATTGGTTCAAAACACACTTCTATGGAAAAAAAGTTTTTTAGAAAAAGAATATTTTCTTAAAATTCTTTAGTAACAAATTTCCAGAATGATTCACTCAAGGCAGCTGTGAGTTACAAAAAAAAAAAAATTGAGTGTAGCACTAAAAAATAAACTGAGTCTGCAAGATCCCAAAGAGCTGCTCACTTAAGAGTTACAAGAATTCCACAATAGTTCTTTTAATGCAGAGAGATCGTAAAGCAAAACGCTGAGGAACTCCTGTGAGACACAATACAGTGGGATTTTGGTCCTACACCACAAGGCTGCTGTTAGGAAATGTTCCTTCTCCAGCACAAGAGGTGCCTTTTCCTTATTTTAAAGTGAATTTACTGTGATTGACTGGTACATTTATTGGCACCTTCACCACTACAGACATGGTAAGTTTACAGGCACAGTCTGGAAGTACTGAAATTTAAGATTAAAAATGTCAGAAACTTGACAAATAGTCATCTCAGCCAGAAATCCAGTTGGATATATTACAAAATTCTGGCCCTTATCATGACTACCTGACCCAGAGACACCCAGGCTCCCCATCGGTTCTGAGGAGCAATAACTAATATCATCTTCCAACCTGGTGATTTAAAATTCATGTTATTTTTACAGTAAGTCACTTAAGAGAAGCCAATAGACTTAATCCCCCTTTCAAAAAAAGCCACAGACGTTCAGATTCCCAAGGGAACATCCACTGTTCAGACAGGCTGCCAGGCACCAGGAAGTTAAGCAACCTCCCTGGGCAGTTTCATATGGGCATCAGTCACTTGATTTTCCTCTCTCTACGCTCAACTGTACCTGATCAGATTTATAAGCAACTGACATCCAAATCAGAATCAAATGGGGAAAGGAGAGGAAAGGGCTATTTACAGTGTTGGAGCTGCAGAACAACTGGCATCCAGTAACCCCCTGGCACAGCCCTCAGTGACCACAGAATGACCACTGTCAAGGTTATCGTAGGAAGTTCTCAGGGGTCACAGAGAAGCATTTCAGTTACACAATTCCTTTGATAATTCACTGCACAGAACTGACAACAAGCACTTTTGGCTGTGCTGTGCTTTGGCAACCCCCGAATTTGGAGGGGGATTACAGGCGATTAACTGCACAGTTAAATCCTCTTTAGGAATTTAAGCAAAGTCCTCCTGAATTTCTCAGCTGGTGTGGAACTGAGCAAGCTCTGCAGAGGCACTGCTCTGGGCTCCCAGCAGCAGCTGAATCACTGTCAGTGCAGATCAGCTGGAGCCTGAGATGGGCCAAACCCACCCCGTTCAGCCAGAGCCGAGCACTCGGCTACTGCACGACAGCAGCGACCACTTGGCTTCTGTACCCACGGACTGACAGCGTGGAATAACTGATGCAAAAAGCTGCAGGAAGGAAGCTAAAACTTCTAGAACTGGAATTATTTTATTTTCAAATTAATTTTGCTGTTGTTGCAAGCCTGCCTGGCATTAACTCCTTGGTGTTTGGAGGCCATGACTGCCAATGGATGAACCAGGAACCACTGGCTTGAAGGAAGAACCCCCCTGATTAAAAATAGGCAAGCAGGTCAAGAAGTGAGTGAATAAGGCGGTAGGTATTAACTGGGAGTCTCCAGGGCCTTTAAAAAAAAAAAACCAAATGCCTTCCATTATAAAAAACACATACATACCATTGGCTTCACTTTATCTACAGTAAATTCACAAAAAACATTGAAAACAGCAATCTAGTTCACCCACTACAAAACTCAGAAGTGACATCTCAGGTTAAAAGCAAAGCTATAAATGTAGTTCCTTAAAAAATGCAAACATATTTCTTTACATACAGACAAATGTTACATGATTGGCTGCTATAATGTGTATATTCTGTTATGTACAAAAAAAAAAGTACAGGATTAGCAGACTGAGCACAAGCAAAAACCCTTCAAGGACAATCTAACCAAACCACCAAAAACAAAAAGACTGGCTCTTAGTTTGTCGGTCACCATGATTATGTGTGCTGGCCCCTTTTAAAAAGTCAGTGATTTCTTCCCCCCTCCCCTATTTCTTCACTTGATTTTTTTTTCTAGTTTACAGAAAGCCTTTTTGTGTAATAATCAGTGAATAGAAAAACTTCACCTGCAAATACAAGGTAGAAATGTTATTTCACAGCTATAGGCTGCAGCATTGATCTCTCCAGATCTCAAATGGAGAATGTACATTTTTGGCTCCCAGTTAATTCCAGATTCTGAGAAAACTGTCCCAAGACCCTGTAGCTACAGCCATGCCGTCATCAGTGACACCTAAACAGCTGACACGGTTGTCATGGCCAGCCAGGACACCTGGAAAAGAAGAAGCAATGGAAGTTACTGACTGCAGGATGTCAAAGACTTCAGCTGTTACTCTGCTCTCCCAGGCAAGTCTTAAATTTACTAAAAGAAGTTGTAATGCAGGATTTTAATTATCCTTTCTGCCTTTACCCTGAAGAACCATACAGAACACAACAAGAAACTCAACAATAAGGTTTTTAAAAACATATACACACGGTATCGCCTCCGTTTTTCTTTCTGCTCTCACAATGTAATGTCTCCTTCCTGTCCCAAAGATGTCCTCATCCCTAATCAGGTTATCTGTCCCCTGTTTTCAGCAATGCTGTCCACAATTTCAGTCATCAAGTTACTTCCAAAATCAAATGTGATGTTTCCTGACAATGTCTTGGTAACAGGAACCACCTTGAGTTTCCCAAGTTTTTCAAACCCTTGGGATCACAAATCCCCCACATATCATGTCAGACTATCAGAAGAGGAGCACTATCCTGCCTCTTCCCACTTTGCTTTTGCTTTCCCTCTGCCTGTTCTTGCCCTTGTCTGCTCTGCCAAGGTTCCACACCCAGGTCTATCAGAACTCAGCTACCCACGTGTCCCTTAAGGAAAAGGATCTATTTTCAGTCTGAAAAGCAGAACTGATGTTCAGAACTGAACCAGGCCCCAGCATTTAAGTTCCTGTAAGTAGCACAAAGAAATAGCTGCACTATAAACATGCTGTGTCCTGACAGAAGTGACTAATTCAAGGACCAGAAGTGTCCACTTCACCTCTCTCCCAACAGGAGGAAATGATGGTCCCCAAAGCAAAAAGCCTACAATCAGAATTACTGCCTCTGAATGGGTGCAGAAGTCAATGCAAATGTGTAATTTTGTATTACTTAAATTCACATACTTCAGTGAAATGCATTTTCTGCAGATGTAATGTCATTTTGGAGGCTGTTCCTCAGCCCCAAGAGCTGGGATCTCCCAGCACAGAGATCTGTAATGGCTCATTCCCAAAAACAGGCCTGTTCCACTGACTGCAGCATTTACTGCAAACACCAGAGAAGGAACTGAAATGCAGTGTAACAGAACCAAATGCAATAAAAGGGTGCCATTCCAAAAGAACTGTGTTAAAAGGAAGCAGGCAGATTCCATAACACCAGCAACAGCACTGGCAGTGAACTGGCTCTGCATTCTGCACAGAGTGTGAACATCCCCTGGGACAGCTCCCAGCAGTTGTGTGTCCTCACCTGCCCTCTCCCCTTTCAGGGTGTCCCACACGTTGCAGTTGAAGTCATCGTAACCCGCGAGCAAGAGGCGCCCGCTCTTGGAGAAGGCGACGGAGGTGATCCCACAGATGATGTTGTCATGGGAATACATCATCAATTCCTGATCTGCACGGAGGTCAAAGAGCCGGCAAGTGGCATCATCAGATCCAGTGGCAAATGCATGTCCATTAGGGAAAAACTGGAAGTTTTAATTAAGAGACAAGAGTTTGACACCAGAAAAATACATTGTTCATGCAGGAGTTTAAGAACATGACAGGATTATTTTGCCAGGGTGACCAGAGTGGTTTATTTTAAAGAAATATATGCATGTTGAAAAATGCATATAAACAACTATGCAAGGAAACCCCTCTGGAACAGTGCTGGTGACACCTGAGGACTGGAATTGTACCCAGCCAGCTCCCACGTGCAGGGTAACAGGAGTCACAGGGGATGCAGCTGACTCCTCCAGAACAGAGTAAACCCCAGTTCTGTACATCCTGCCTGTGGGCCAGGAAGACAGGGAGAAGTGGAACATGATGTTCCATCCTGAGCTGGTCAGCCAGGTTGGCTCAGCCAAGATAGAAGATTGTAAGCAATTCAATTTCAGAAAAAATCTACTCCAAATCCGAGTCATCCTCTCAACATCCGTATTGATTGAAACAGGAATGGAGAGAGCTCAGCACATCTCAGGGTCCAGGTCTAAGTATAGGATCTGCATTTTTGTACTGGTCATGCGTTCGGTATTTTCTCAGCCTTAATAATTTTTCATGTTTATCAAAAACAGATGCAGCTTAGACTTAGATTTCATTCCCTATTTACCAGGGCTTGTATCTTGCAGATCAGAACATAGTGTTACTATGACAGAGAGGAAATACAATCCAGTTTATAAATATTACCAAATTATTCCAGGGAATATTCAACATCAGGGCCGATTTTTAACTTTGCCTTCCAGAATATTTCTCTGAAAGTTCTTTTCAAAGAAAATATTAAATACATTTTTGTTCAACCAAAACCTTTAAGATGAGGACACTTGGCTGTTTTGCACCAGTATATTGCATTTATCTGCAATTTTCAGTTTTTAACTCATTGCTACACTGCAAAAAATCTCCCTAGTCCATTCTTCACTTCTTAAAAAAAGTGATGTCTCAGTTACTGAACAAAAACACTGCTGAAACTATCCTGAGAACAGCTTAATGCATCACAGATAATGGCAATAATAATTCAGTTACAAACTAGATCATAATTTATTAGACAACCTTCTCCAATTTAGCAGTCCCTACCCTAACTAACTGATTTTAAATCAAGGTAACTCAGTAGCTGAATTCATGTAAATATAGCCTTTATCCTCCCCCTTTCTTCCCACGTGGAAATACAAAGGATCACTTACACAAACTGCATTAATATCTGACACGTGCCCTGTGAACGACTGCCTGCACATTCCATCCCGGATATCCCAAAGCTTCGAGGAGGCATCGCAGGCACCCGAAACAAAAGTCCTCATGTCTGGACTTAGGGAGAGACTCATCACATCTCCAGTGTGCCCAGTGAACGTGGTGGTCTGCTGACCAGTTTCAATGTCCCACAAAGCGCTGCAGATAAAAGGTTACAACGTTAACACTGTGTCTGTGATTATTTCAGAGTTCAAGTTTCAAATACAAATAAAGGCACTGGAGAGAGGAAAAGAAAAAAGAGGGGGTGAGGGAAGGCCAACAGAGCTCAAAAACTCACCAAGTGGTGTCTCCTGAGCTAGTGACAATTTGGTTGTCATCTAGGAAGCGACAACAGGACAAATATCCTAAAAACAAAACAGTTATGTTAGTTTCCAACCCAGGAGTAATAACTGCAAGTTTAAAATCCAAGAACAGCATCAAAGTTCTCCCACAGCCAGTGTGTGACCAGCAGTACTGTTGCACAGCTCACAGCACACCTCAGAGTGAGATGGTTTGCTGTGGTGCAGTAACAAACCAAAGTGGAAGAAGACCATGGCTGACCTGTGTGTCCCGGCAGCTCCCGGCTCACCCGCACGTTCCCCTCCCTGGTTTTCAGGTTGTATATGGAGCAGATGTTGTCCAGGCCACCACAGGCCACGTAGTTGCCAGAGGGAGCGTAGGCACAGGTCATCACCCAGGAGGATCTCAAGGGAATGGCGTGCATCTTGGGAGAGACACAGCTCGTGAGGGCACGGACAGCAGCTCCCTCTCACCCAGTCACTCGTTCAGCAGCTCAAACACACCACGGGCACTGTGCACTATAAGCTTCAGTATCTGGATTTTACAACATATTACAGCTCATTCCATATTTACACATCCACACACACTGGGGTGACAGACACCAGTGGTATCTGCAGGGCAGACATACAGAACTTCAGCACAACACTATTCCACAGCAAAGCTATCCTAAACTTAAACACTTACAACAGTTGTTTATTCTATTTAATTTCTTTGTCCAACTCTTTTACATTTTTGAGCTATAGGTCGTAAGACAGGATGGCTGTGCCCATGGAGACTGGACAGTTTATGTAAGCACAGCTTTTTAATTCCTTCTCCTTTCTCTGCCCTCAAACCCAAAATCTTCCTGTAAATTCTGAGGTTGTGTATTTCTACAATTCAAAACCAAATTAGTTTCAGACACAATACCAGACAGGCAGAGAGCAACAGCTACCAGCTACTGCATTAGCAATTTAAGGGTGAAAATGTTACATATTACCTATGTAATTAACTGTTGCTTCAGAAACACACCCTGCAACACATCACTAGTAATCAGCTAGTCAAAGAGGAACAAAAAATTATGTCTGAATTAGAAACACTGCTGCTTTTAATTGACTTGCAACCATAGAAAAAACAGACACAAGCCTTCTCAAACACACAAATCATACATTAACTGTTGATAAAGATTATAAATAAGTACCTTATTTGTTGTATAACTATCCCAAATAATTAATTTTCCATCTTGAGAAGCACTGACTAGTAGCCTAAATATAAACACAAAATAAAACATGTTAATGTAAAACAAACCACAAATATCTCAAAATATACATGTATCATTCATGATTACCAAGTGATTCAGAAGTTTCATGGAGGGGTGCATTTGTTGGGAAAAGTCTGCAAAGATCTTGATCTACACATGACCTGACTGAAGAGTCACATGTGCACAGGGACTCATGATTAGCACTGAACACAACCACACAACTTGGTGAAAACGCATTTTATGAACTCCCTCCATAGCTGCTTTCATTATTCACACAATAATATTCTAACTACACAGTTATAAGAAAGCAAATAAGGAATTTAGGTGAAAATAAACCTGGAGAGCAGAGTCCAGATGTATTCCTCTCTGGACAACATGACAGAGACACGAGGCAGTGTTACCACCTGACCATAAGTTGCTCTAAAGGCAGCATAACAAAATTCCAACTTTTCCCACTATGTACAAAAGGATCTTTTTTTTCAATGAAATAAAATTGGTCCGTAAAGTTTTGAAATCTTTGTTATCACAGCAGTTACATGATTATTCAACATCTTGGAAAATACAATGCCCAGCATTCCAAAAATGTGCTTCACCACATGCTCTCCTCTGCTTAAACAGGGTCAAAAACTTGGTTAAAAATGAAAGAAGGAAAAGGGAAAATACCCATAGTAAGAACAAGCCAAGTACCTCTCCTCTCAACCAAGGCTTCTCTATCACCCTTCTGCAGTTTTAAGAAGGCAAAGTATAACTAAACCCAAAAAACCTGTGATGTCTCTTCAAGGGCCCCAACATCACTCCATGAGACTCCCAAAACCTGACATTAAACCTGAAGCTGACAATCTGATTTCCAACCCTTAAACTGCAGGTTTAAGCCTCCCCTGTACCAACCTTGAGTCAGATCCCCAGTGCATGGCATAGATTTTGGCTAAGTGACCTCTAAGCGTGCGCCGGGTCCGCATTTGGATCCGACCCACGGAGTCCAGACTTGTTGTGATCTAAAAATAAATAACACAAACCCCCGAGATACTGAGAACTATTTTTAATGCACGAGATAACAAAAATACATATGAACTTTGATAGAACATAATCTGCCTTGGCTCACAGCAAAATCAAACAAAAAAGGGCTACTGTTGCACACCCAGGATTAGGTCCTTGCAACATTGACAAAAACAGATTTTACTGCTGACAGACTGTAACACTCTTCATGATGGCTACACCTGAAACTTCAGGAAAGCTTTTTAAAAGCTATTTAAGGCTATTTCAGATTATCAAATCTGAAAGTTTTCAATTAAAACCAAGGAAAGAAAATCCTCCAATGTTTACTGCACTGTTACTTTTTTAAAGCACGGCAGAACTTTAAATGCAAAATCCTTTTGTTCCCAAAATACAGCTAAAAGACATTCATTGAAGTCTTCTAAATACATTAAACACAATAAACATGCTCTATTTAAAAGGTGAACTGGAAGCAGGATCCATTAAGATGATGGGGGGTTTTTGACTGGTTGGATTTTTTTCCTGTTTTGTTTATTTGGGTTTTTTTGGTGGTATTGTTTTGTTCTGTTTTAAATACACAGTACATTTCCAAAGGCTTCTTTCACTTCATTCTTTCAGTTACTGAACAGGAACATGCAACAGTCATAAACTGGTATTTTTAATTTTTTTTTCTACCAAGTAAGAGGCTATACAAAGAATCAGGAACATACCTGAGCAAGAGTTGTGTCACTGCACGCTTTCCTGGCATCCTGAAACAGAAGAATGGAACAAGTTGAATTGGAAAGGCAACACTGAGCATCAACTGAGAGAGTGTCTAAAGGAAAAATAACTCAAGTTAGGCTTCAACACACTCAAAAAGTCACACACCACCGACTGACATCCCATACACCTTCTGTCACCCTAACTGGTTGGATTGTTCAGGGGATCTAAAGCACTGGTACACAACTAGGGGTAGTGGAGGAAAAGGGACTTAGGAAGGGCTGTGCCCCAGCAGCCTTTGAATCTCCCTTTCTACAGACTATGGGATTCAAAGGCACTTGCAGCCATCCTGAAGTCCCAGTGCCTACCCTTTTCCCTGTATTCCTTCCCTGGGGTGGATGTGCTTGCTCAGGGTGTGCTGAGCACAAGGGAAGAACTGATCCACCTGGAAAAGCAACCATATATTACACATGATTAGCAAGCTCTGTGCCACATGAGGCTGTACATTAATTATCAACCCCCTTGGCATCACAGGGGTGACAGTGCCAGCTGGGAGAGGCAGGATGGAAATCAACAGGCAGGATCTGAGCAGGACAGACAGCAGGATTACCAAAGCTTCACCTGATGATGCACTTGATGCAAAATGAAGGGGAAAAAAAAGATTCTACTAATGCCCTCACTCATTTCATGAACGGGTGGTGCTCAGCTCTCCATACAGACATTCCTTTGTTTTTCCTTATTTCAGCCTGCATGGACATAGCACTTATTTTCTGCACATGATTCAACCCGACCTAAACACCAGACTTTCCCTTCATTCACATAATCAGTCACAGACTGAACACCTGACATGGGTGAGCACCACTGAGCCTGATCCACAACACTGATTTTGCAAAACCTGGTTTTAGTTACAGCTGAGACTGCACTGCCCTCCTGCAACTGCGGCCCTGCACTTGAAAAACTGAAACAGGCACATGGTCAGCAACTCCTTCTGAGAAATCTGGTTTAAAACTGGCTTAAAATTAGACAGGAACTGTGTAGCACAAGTTAAGTTAAAATCATTGACAGCTCAACTGAAGGATCAAGCCACAGAACCCTCTTGAACTCCTGTGATTTCTCCAGTTTCCCAAAAACAGTGGTTTTCACCACACATTTGTGTGTCCCCCCACCCCACCACAGTTCAATCTGTGCACAAATGGCAAAGTCCTCTCTGAGAGGAGGAACGGAAACATTTACTCACACATTTTGGAACTGCATCAACACTTTCAGACCACGATCTTATTTTTTTTTCAAGCTCTTGCTTGAGAGTTACTTGACATTGCAACTTCAACATTTCTTAAGTGCATGTTTATTTTGACCACCCTTTATAGCTCTCCTCCCAAGAAGCAAGCCTGAGAGTGGATTAAGTCATCTCAACTTATTTTTATAATGTCTGAACTGTAGAAATATTTATAAAATGTTGACGTCTGGAATCAGGAGGGGTTTAAAATACCAGAGCAGCAAATCCCTTAGCACTCAGGACTTATTTCATCCACAGGAAGAAACACACTGGATATTAAACAACTTTACTTGTTTGGTTTAGCTGAAATACTTAAAGATGTTCAACATAAAATGATTTCTCAATGCAGTCCAAATGAGACAAAGCATTTTTTCTCTTTAAGAAACAGCTATTAGCAACACCTGTACTTGAGGCTGCCTAACACTTGCCATACAATTGGCAAAGCTGCAGGAACAGGAGAGTTTCAAGAGACTATTTTAATTCTTACACTGACACTGTCATTTCTACGTGAGCATCGTTGTAACAGAATCATTAGTGTCAAAAGATAAAAAAGCTCCTCTATGTACTTGTAGATTTTCTCAGTTCATGCAGCAGACAATGCAAAATTGGTGAGAAAAATCTACCTGCTTGATCAGTGTGCAGCCCCCACGATTTCTGAGCACATGCACCTCAGACTGCAGTTTTTTCCCTAAAATTCATGGATTTTTTTACATATAGTGCCTATTTGTTCAAAATGTCTGGTTCAAGTGACACTGTGCCAAGTAAGCAGCACTTCCAAAAATCATTATCCTCAATTTCAGTTCTCAAAGTGAGGACACACATATCACAAGGGAACTTTTATTACAGAGAAAACTGGGAATTAACTTTAACCATAGACTCATCTGACAGATCTGACAGTTCAGTGTTCAAACCTCCTGCACTAAAAATTCTGGCAATCTTAGGTTATTCCTCCAACATTGTCTGTGTACACAACTGAGCTACAGCTGCAGTTACTGCATGGGGAGACAGGTACCCACATCACTACCACACAGGAAAAAAAAATTAAAAATCATTAAACACTTCCAAAATACCACAGGCTAAAAAAAGGGGAATGGACAGCTATGCACTGCAATTTGTACACTTGAGGAAGCTGGTAGGTACAATCTGATCTGGACCTCACTTCTAAGCACAAAGCTGATTTTTGTGATTATACTGTTAGAGGAAATATCAGACAAAACCCAAGAGCCGTAAACAAGTAAGACAGCAAAATTCTAGCTATATATAAAACATCAAATGCTGGTAGTGACCTCACCTATTTTAGGAGTGCATCAAAAATAACTCCTGAAAATTACCAGCCCAATGAATCTAGACACTTAAAAGGAACTTTTTTTTAGCTCCTGTACCTATCCTCTTATCCATCCCAAACAAACACCTATTTAGAAAGAAAACTGTGCAATGATTTAATAAGCAAGATAAACAGTGATCTATACAAATATGAAACTGAGTTATTTAGTCAGAAAGTTTCTTGGGTATTAAGTCACCAGGAGCATTTGTAAGTTGCATATATATCTGAAGTCAGAATTAAGCACAAGGTATCCAAGCCTGCACTCAGATCCAAAGAGGAATCCCTAATTGTCACTGCTGAGCCAAAAGACTCCAAAGGCAATACAGCCCTGCTTACTCAGCTACACCTGATAGATCCAGTTACACGGCTGGGTGACAGAGTTACAAAGGAAATGTTAAATTGACATAAAGCCACAAAATGGAGGGCAAATTATACAAAGGGCCAATCAGATTTTTATGCTCCAAAATTTAAAAAAGAAGCAAAGTTTCCTGCAGCACAGTGGAGCTTTCCTGGCAGCTCTTCCTTCACACAATTTTGAATAAAACATAATATCAGTCTGATTGATTACCAAGACTGAGCAAAGACTTAACTGGCTCACCCTGATGTCATGTAACGACAGTCTTCACACATCAGGTAGAGGAAAAATTATGTACAACTTTTATTTGTGCAACGCTATAACAAAGCTTCAGTAGAAAAAAGTATTTTAAACTAAAATTTATTTGCATGTCCTACTGCAAGGGGCACCCAGTGCCACAGCACTGACTGATCCCACCCTTTTATTTCTAGAGTGTTTTAAGTGGAAATGATGGGATACTGAACAAGCAACAGGAAAGTAACACTTGCCCCCACCACAACTCGTGAAACATGAAGTGTGTTCTCCACATGGCTGACACCAACAAGCAGCCTCACACGAAGCAGGAGACACCACACAACAACTGCTGCCAGCAGATGCCGTGCTAAAAAAAGTCAGTGTGCAACATATTCCAAGAAACCTGTACTCCCCGCTGATAGGAATGCTTGCAAATAAGGCATTCCCATATAAATCAGGTTTATGGATGCTTCATGTTTAGAAAATCTTGATTAAAAATAAACAGACTTTGAATATCCTTATTATGCTTTGTACTTTCCTGAAAACTGCATCACTGAAATGTACAGGCATGTCGCAACAGATTCCTGGAAAACTGACTTTGGGGATGACAGCTCATATTTGGTTTATCTTCAGTGAGTAAATACAACAAAAAGTTAGAACATATGGGGGGAATCAGCATTTAAAAAAAATAAATTCAACAGGAAGCAAAGAAATAGGGCTTGTAGAAATGACAACCCTGGAAGGTTCTCTCTCACAGTCCATGCTGTGACCTGCAGGCTATTCAAGAGTGGCAGCACAGTCATCACTTTTAGCCCAGAACAAGCTTTTCTAATACCCCTAAGCCCAGTTTGTAATGCCAAAGTTCTATAAGTTTGCTGCTCCCCTCTTGTTTTAAAAACCCAAAATAAAAAAAAAAATTGCAGAGACAAATACACCCCTAATACCAAAACTCAGAGAACTTCAACAGGAAATAAAACATATTGTTCAAGAAATACTAAGAATATGCTTCATTATACCATTGGCTCTTCTGATTTTTAAACAAATATTCCAAAAACATTTTAGGCTCTGCACAGCTTACACAAGTGTAGTAATAGATGTGATTTTTACAATTTATTCCCTTAAAGGAGGAATTCTATAATGAAAAATAAGCAATTAGCAGTTCTCACTCTGATTTGGTTTCGCAGCTGCTCTGCCTCCTGCCGTAACTGTTCCAGCTCACTCATCTTCTTCAGCCTTTATTTCTCACACTCCACTGGTGAAGAAAACCTGCCAATAAAAGGGAAGAAAAATAAGTTTCAGTATCACTTTCTCCTCTTAAAAAAAACAAAACGAAATCCCCCACAAACCTATATATATATATATATATATTTATCCTGCCTTTGGAAAGGCTTCCAAATAGATATTCCCATTAGTACACTGTCTTTAATGAATTTGGCAAGACTTAAATGATTTCAATCCCTGAATTACCATGAAAAGTAGAATTAAGTGAAGTCTATTTTGAATATAGAAGCAACTGTCAACAGAACCACCCACTGTACTTTAAGAACCTGTTTTGTAGCAGGGCTCTGCTCACCCGCCCGCAAACTCCGTCACAAATTCTGTGCCCCAAGATGGCAACAGAGAGCAAAGGCTGCAGGTCCCCTCAACATTCACCTCTGGGCTCAACGGGGGTGTGATACAGGCACCTTGCACAGCACAGCCAGGGCAGGCTTGGTTTTAATTACAGATGAAATTTCTGAACCATTGACTACAGCTGAAATAGCAGGTTTTCTCCAATTTTTCCCATATTTTCCCTGGGCAAGGCACAATGATGTTTTTATTTCAAAGGCCCCCATGCAGTGAGAAGGGATAGCAATGCCTGAACCATCCCTAAAAGCATCCTCGTGCTGATACAGCCCTCAGCTGCCTAAAGCAGTTCTCATCTGACTGAGGACTCAAAGCAACCTCAATAAGAAGATCAATTAACAGTAAGACTTCGTGCAGGCACACTTTCAGGTTAGTGATTTTTTTTTTCAAATCAGATTTTGCATCAGATTTTTTTCAGCATGTTGAACAAAGTTTCCTCAGATCAATTTTCCTCTTTATTCCCAGCACAGCAGTGCAACCACTACAGAGACCTCTGAAGTCTGTTCACACACACGGGGACTTCAATATCCTTGCAGTGAAAGGAACATCAGAAAGTAACTTGCTCACAAACAAGCCAGGCACCTATTTGTAATTTTTTCATGACTGGAAAAGCACACCAGAAAGGTGATGGTGGTGCTCCCATGACATTATCTAAAAAGCCAAACCACTTCTAGCTTATAGAAGAAGAAAGACAAAAGTTTGTGAGTATTGCTCACAAAATGAAAATTGAGGAAGGAAGGAAAAGAAGCGGGAAGAAAAACCCATTCAAAACATTATTTTATGCTTCTTATTTAGTCCACTGAAAAATGGCCAAAAAACAGAGGAAGAAGGGTCACAGAGTGTCTGGGAAGTTGTAGGGAAACCCTTTATTAGGTCTAGATCCTGGTTCTTTGTAGTCCAATAGTGATGTGCTCTAAAAGACTGACTCAAAGCTTTTCTCCATCTATAAAACACAACACTTCATAGATTGAAAAGAGTGAGAAGTTTTGGTTCAAAGCAATTTACTAATAAGATAAACACCCCTGGATTAACACCTTAAACAAGTGTTTGAGAGCTAAAAAATTTCTGGCTACTCAAGAAGAAAAGTATCTTCATTAATTATCCATCTACTCCTTTTATCAATCTGAACCTCGTGCTTCACTGCAAAGTCCATTTCAGAACAAACTCACAAACATACAAAAGTTGGATCATCTCCAGATCAAAATAAATCCAAACCAGTAACAGAAGTGGTGACTTAGGTCTAACTAATACTTCCAGCTGTATGTAAACAAACTATGAGGTTTTCCTTCCTTAAACCTGTGCTCTGTTCAACTACAAAGACATTGTAATTCACATGTGAGTATCAGACTACTTCATTTACTATCATGTTCCTATTTCAGACGCCTAAACTACTTAACAGGACATAATGCACAGTAGGTATAACACAGAAGTCATTAGCACTCATGTCTGATTTTAAAAACTAAGCATTAAAGACATCCCTTTAGGATGCACATTTAATCACATACTTTTAAAATCTATCAGTTTAATTACAATCTTAATGCATTTAATGGGTATACCTCTATGAAATATAGCCCCACTTTCAGTTCTGACTGTGTCAAATTAATCTTCTCATTGTGATTTTCCTTTTTTTATCTAGAATCTATTCAAAGGTAACACAGACAAAACAATGGTCTCAAAGGTCTTAAGCTGGCCAGCCGTGCTGCCTGCCAATGTTTAGTAGTCTTGTGTGCTATTTTTAACAGAAGATAAAGATTCCTAACAGAGAAGTTGATGTGTCTCTATTTTTCTGAGAAGGGAAGTCAGCCTCTGCCCTGTAATGTGCCACACACTTGAGTGCTCTGTAAACAGTCACTTCAACATAGAGAATTATTGATCATAAAGACAGTGACACTATTCACACCTGGAAGTATGCATGGCCAGTCACAGCCACCTAAAGTCAGGGGGTTTTTTATTCATAGGTAAAACCATGAGCATATTAGGAAATGAGCTGTAGCACTGCACTGGCACTCGAAGTCCATCAATGACCACCCTGCACTTCAACTACAAAGTTGCTGTTAGGGACTTTAATGTCACTTGTATCAGCTCTGTTCACCATTAATGCCATTCCTGCACCAGCAGCTACACAGCTTTAAATTGTGTTACACTTCTCCAAGTTTCTACATGGAGAAAATCCAGCTCCAGAAGCCTTCTCACCCACCCACCCACATTTAGCTATAATTCTGAAGCAAATAAAAGGACAATGATCTTCCATATTTTTTGAAAGATATATTTTTTCGGTAGTGGAAAAGCCCTAGTAGCACCACTATGTTTTAAATCTGCAAGGCCTTAGCATTACTGCTCAGCAGAAACATGTCAGTGGTTCAAGGTCAAGCCATACCTCAGTGAACAGAACGGCCTTCAAGCCAGCACACATTCCCGCAAAATCCAGGTTTCTTTTAGAACTGGATTACTCCAGCTTTAAGCATTAAAGTTCCTTTCCAGTATGCAGCAGCTGAACAGCAAGCTCTGAGATATTCTTAAGCTATGTATAAACACCAGGATACTACAGTAAACAAACTAAGTGCACAGTTTAACTATTAAATTGAAGCGCATCCAACACTGTTGCACCGGCTGGCGGCAGCTCCCGATGGCCTCTGTGTTCAGATCATCCCCCACCATGAAGTATTTAGCAGAATTGGGACTAAGATGCTTCCACTTGGGATTTTTACTTTCTTCTTTTTTTTAGTACTACTTTGATGTGCCCACAGGAAAGTACAGAAATTGAGTGGGTAGGGAGGAAGCTCTCACAGATGCCTTTGAGATTCACACTAACCCTGCAAGCAGTGTCTCCGAATTCCTGTCAAACTCCCGACTGATGTCAGCAGAATCACGACAGCAACACAGGAAGATGAAACACCTGCTTGGATGCCTGGAACTTGTGGATACATCTGTGTCTGTTTTAATACTTCTGATGCTACAGTGATATGGTTGAAGATGTAGTTATGTCCATAGACCATTGGCTAGACTAGATTTACTTGCTGTATGTTTTTAAGTGTATCAGTGAAGCACAGCAAGAACTCAGACCTGAGATGCCTGGCAGCACTGGCCAAGCAGAGGCTACATCCTATAAACCTGTCCTCAGTGCAGAGAAGCAGGTCATCACCACGACCTCGAAGTGTGCTATTTTCCAGTGCTATGAGGCATCAGATAAACAACTTCGTTTTTATCAGATTAAGTGCTGGGACTGCTTTTGCAGGGCTTACAGGGATTGCCAAGAACGGAGGTCATCTCTATATTGCAATTTTTTCCTCATACAAATTACTGAAAACCTCAGTGGATTCGACAAGTGTTGTACTAGGTTACAAAAGACACATGCCTGTTTGTTCTCCCCTCCAGGAAGATCAAAATACTACAGCCAGGAAGGAGCACAGCCTCACAGCCTGGAAAAAAATCTTTATTCCAAACATGAATTTCCCCAGGAGCCCTCAATCATGTACACAGCAAAGCCACCAGCTCTTCTACCTGTATGGGCAGGAGTGAGGCTTCCTCCTGCCACCTCAGGACACTGGGGTAATGTAATGCCTACCTCCCTGACTTATTCATATTTTTAATAAATGTTGAGTCAGAGAAAAAATACTCTGACTTCCCTTAGATGCAGATCCCTAGTGTTATCTGCTTTTCAGCATTCAGAAGTAGCACCTCTGATAAAGAAGCCAGATGCTTCTCTCCAAATGCAATTCATGATGTGCACGATGGACTATGAACAGCATCACCTGCTGTGGCAGGGAGGCCTTGAGGGGACAAGCAACAGGAAGGGGAAAAACTTTTTAATACCTTTGGTAGCTGGGGGTGTACCACAGCAGGACACCCAAGGCATCAGGAAAGGGGGTCAAGGACACGAGATGATTCCATCAGAAGCAACAATACAGGGAGCACTAACCACTGTGCAGCCAAGGCAGTAAATCTCTGCAATACAGGGAGCACTAACCACTGTGTAGCCAAGGCAGCACATCTCTGCCCTCAGCCATTTGCAGGCTGAACTGTCCCTCAGTGCAATTTCTCCTCAGTGGACTTGTACAAGTGAATTTAGTGATACCAAAACAAAGTGCCTCCCGAGGCAAAATAATTAACTAAGTCAGATTCCACTGCATATCTAGTGTCAAGAAAGCCACTGGCAGGCTTGAGTGCTCCACAGATAAATTACCCCTTGCACTATTCCTGATTCAGTAGCAACACCATTTGCTAAGAGTTTAATTCTTCATTATACAGGCAGGCGGTGACAAATTACCACAGTTTCTTGTCTCCAAAGTACTTTCTTTACAAACTGTGGACTCAGAACACTGTGGTTGGAAAAACACCCTTTTCTCTGTAAAAACTCACTCCAAATGCACTTGAGCTCACACTTTGAGAAGATTCACTGAGCCCAGACCCCTGTGACATCCCAGCAGGCAGCAGGGCAGGACACAGTGCCTACACAAGCTGGGATGCAGGGAGTTCATCAGACAGGACCTGCTGACCCCATGGCACTGAGCAGAGGGCTGGCACAGGGACCAAGAGCTGATGGAGCTCTGGAAAGCCAGGAAATAGGCTGGTATTTGCAGGTTATTCGAAGTAGAATAGCCAAGCATGTAGTGATAGGAACCTTTAGTTCTATTTCAAGTATTTCTGTCTCAGAGAAGATTACAGTTTACAAACTAAGTAATTTATATTCTTAAAAATAAAAAAAGTATTTAAAATAACAGGTACTTTCACTTGCCTTGGCAAGCTTAGCCTATTCCCCTGTAAAATCACCATATACATAGGATGGAAAAAAAAATTACTAGAGAAGTGTAAATATGCCCCTTGTCACAGCAAAGGATTACTATTTTCGTGTCAAATATCTAGAGATTAAAGGGACTGCAGAAAGTGTAACTAGATTCTTAAGAGCTATCAACTCAAGAGTTATTTGGGTAAGAATTTCATTCTGTACCAAAAAAATCAGTCCTTTAGAATTGAAATTAGTGCTTACCTATACATATCAACTTTAGTTTTTCAACTCATACACAGCAAGATCTCACAAGTGATCAACAGATAGCAGCAAAAAGAGAGGTTTCACATAACTTTCATGTGATCCTCCCTACTAATGATCACACAGGTGGCTAAACATAAGGAATGCTAACTACAGCACCTTACTAATTATAGGAAAAAGACACCAAGGCACACCCCAGCTTTCTCTCAAAGGAGATATACAGTGGTAACTCACATACATTCAGGCTTTGGGCCACAAAACCTTTATATGCTGAAGTTGCTTGTGTAAATTTACCTGTTTGCCTCCTGTGAGTGCTGACAGTGTTTGCAGGGGTGGACAGTGGGGTTCTGCCTCTGAAGCTGAGCCCTGCCAGCACACACAGACCAATACTTCATGTATTCAAGATGTGCCAAAGAAGATTTTCATAAAACACTTCTTCATTTAGTACTAAACAAGACTTTGGCAGCTTTGCCCACTCATTTATGTCTCCCCAAACCCAGGAATAGAGAATTAAAACACAGAGAGGTTTTATTTCTTGCAGCCTGAAGGCAATGGGTTTGACATATTGGAGAATGGTTCAAAATGTACAAACTTGGACATGGCCTTATATAAAGTGAAATCTCTGCCTGCACAACAGTCACTTAAAGTAAATGCATTAATGCTGGGATGCAGTTACAGACCTTCATATAGAAAGTCTTTCAGCTGGAATTTTACATAATATATTTTCTGCAGCAGAGCTGTTTGAGGACCACACACACACTCAGCTCTCCACTGAGGAAAATGAAACATGTAATGGTTTTTTTTACTTATACCTTGGCCCTATGTTGTCTCTCCTGTTTCTCAGAGAGACCTTTCCAGCTATCCATTTTCCCAAGCATCCTTTGTTCTGACTTGTAGCTGTACTGCATCAATAAATAAAGACAACAAAGCAAGGAGCTTTTATATTGGTCAACTAATACTTGAATAACAGCAGAGAGAGGCTGGGATAAGTTGAAACACCAGTATGTAGGAGCTGTAATTGTGCCATTGGGTACCTTGCTCTTCTTCTCTCCTCTCAAACCTCTTCAGTTCATCTCCTTCCTTTATCTTTAATGTATACTTTTGAGGGGTGCACTAGTTACAGAACATCTTACACATTTCAGTAGAGAATAATGATTATTAATTTTTAAATGGTTACCATTTATAAAATAACTCTGGAAATCCTAACAGAATATTTTCCCTAAGTTATTTTAATTTTGCAAAATGGAATTAATTGTCACAGTGATTTCTGAGCCTTGGGCACATGCACAGGAGAGTTCTCCCATATTCAGGGCCTCTGGTCTCCCCAAGAAGAAAACAGGAAGCAGCCTGGGTGTGACCTCGCTCGCTGAGGTCAGCGCTATTGTTGCACTTCTGCACATTTTGGAAGTGTTTTAAAGTGATATGTCTCCATTATAGCTTTGGTACAAAAACAGGAAATAATCAACCAACGCCTCTCGAGAGGAAGGGTATGAGCAGAACTTACTTAAACACCCATTTCTCCAACAGACACCGTCCCCAGTTTTAAGGAACTGATGCGAGTGTGTGCTCAAAATTGAATGTACAGCTGGAAAGGAGAGGCCACAAGACAGACTCACAAGCAAACAATGAATCAGTGGGATTTGAGAGTGTTCCCTCTTCGTGTGTCCACATGCCCCGCGCAGTTACATCAGGAACACAACCCCACCCACCAACTGGGTGGCAGAAGCAGTTTCAAGACAACAATATTGCTCCTTCCTTCCTTGGTCAAAACACCTCATACCTACACATCACAAACATAAATATGTGCCATTTGACACACACGTAGCTACTCAGCTGGTGATTTTAGTAAGACTTTGAAACAAAGCCTGCCACATCAAAACACTTCCATTTACCACAATAACTCCTTGGTGCTGTGAACAGAAGTCATTTCAATGAGACAAATACAAACATCTGTGTTCACCTTCAGACTTCAGTGCTGTAAGGATCAACCTCTGGTGTGTTTCAGTCACAGAGCTGGGTTTGATGACTGGTTTTATTACGGTTGCCATGGAAGACAAACAGACCGGCAAATACTGACCTTGTTAACAGCAGTCACAAAACAGACAAAGGAAATCACAGTTGAGAAGTTTGAGTGAAATAATTCTTAAGTTTGCTAGCAAAAAACCATCAGTAACTTTTACCCTTCTTTATGCAGTAGGATGACATTTCATGAGACTAGTGTCTGAAGCTCAGAGATTTGAGAGTTTATTTCTAAAACCCAACTGAAAGTCTAAGCCAAGTACATTCATAAAACATATAGAAAGCCCCTACTCTTCTTTGCCCACACACACTAGATTCTAGAAAAAAAACCCAAGAAATTCAGTGTTGAGCACAAGGCTGAAAAAAGCACAGGAAGGAAGGAATTTTTAAAAGTCATGAATATTTCACAGTCCAAAAGAGTGATTTTTCCAAAATTAACATTTTTGCATCTTATGCTCATTATGTTTGTTTCCAGGTCAAAATGTTTTGGTACATAAGCACAGATTTATTTTTATCACACTCCCTGCAAACAGAACTTCATGTGAAATTCAAACTGTCTTCAGCGACTATAATGATTCGCCAGTAAAAACTTGGTTCACTGACCTCAGGACACATCACTGAACAAATTATTAATGGTTTTGCAATTCAAAGCATCTAAGAAGTGGCAAGAAAGATCTTAATGAAGCAGAAAGATATAACCCTAAGTAAGAAGACAGTGATGGTTCCAGTCCAATTTCTTCTTTGGGCACAGACAGGTGGACACACACAGGGAGCGTGCTGAGGTTTTTTGTCTCTTCCAATACCCAGCCACATCCAGAGGCTATTCTAACATTTTACTAGGAAAAATGTACTGCAGAGTGACAATTCAAAGTCATTTTGAAAGACCCTCATTTACATTAAAATCCATCTCCAAACAAGTTTGATTTTGGATTTTTTTAGGGGCCAGCACATTGGTATTTACTGAAGTGGCATCATGGAGGGCCAAGCAGTGCAATGCATATAAAATCTGGTCTGGCACCTACAGGCACAAAAGATTACTGAGGCAGCCTCCTGTTATCTGAGAGAGAGCAGACTGCACAGTGTGCATAAAAGGCACCAAGCACACAGATAATTTTAGGTTTAAAGTCAATGGAGAAAATACACATTAAGAGAAACTAGTACTGTCTCCAGGAAAAGTGCCTTAATTCAACTCGGATGACTATTCACTCGACTGCAACAATCTCTGGCTGACAGTCTTTGCAAGGGGAGCATTCTCACACACTTGAGGAGCAGAAAGCCCAGCAGTACCAGTTACACACAGATTGCATCCTTTCAAACTCATCACCAGCTCGGGAAAAACCACGGATCTGATCTATACATAGTGCTCAGCACCCTTCCCTCCTCCTCCCCATTCAGCACCACACACACTCCCTTGGTACCGAAGTTACAGCGAGGCATTATGTGTTCACAGCACCACGCAGCTGGAACACTCAGCTGGACTCTTTCATACGGAAACAAGGGAATAGAAGCACTTGCCTTTTTTTTTTTTTTTTTTTTTTAAATACAGACTATCCAAAGATCAGATAAAACTATTTCCCTCAGGTCCAATTTTAATTTTGCTTTTGGTTCCCAATATATTTCTGGTCAATTACTTGTGATTTGAAGCCACAAAAATTAAGTTCTCTTCCAGATTAGAGTTCAAGCTACTTTAGTAGGGTTTTCTAAATATTTTTTTTTTGAGATACATATTGTCATAGGCCTTTAAAGAAAAACAACTATCACAAACCTGACTTTATAGAACAATTAGAAATCCCATGCTACAAAGTAAAAACCCTATATACTGGTTTTTTCACCCCTACTAATGCAAGAATGAGATTAAGAGTACATGAGCTATTTAACTACTTCAGGTACAACTTGTGATGAGATGGATGTATCTAACCTATACTCTTCTGAATTGTTTTTGATGTTTCTCAAGCAGTAAGCAGTAACGCCTGTTTTCAAACAGCTGCTTTTTAAAGAAGATACTACATCCAATATTTAGGAAATATGTTAAGGAAATAAGGAGCACTAGGTTCCTAACTATCTCCACACTTGTAGGGTTCTCAATAAAGGCTGTCTTTGTAGTGGGAGTAATTTTTAACTGGCCATAATTGAGAAATTAGCCACCTGCCTACTGGAAAGAAAGTAAACCTAGATGAAGTTTCCAACAGAACAGGGTAAAAGAGAAACAAAATGCTGCTGCTAAGTACAATATTCCCATCTATAGCAGTCTTCCACAAAGGATCACTTCTTTATTTTTTAATGAAAACTTTTTTATGAAAGCATGATGCTCACTAGCCTATAAATAGCAGTATTCCCCTGTGGAGACAAAGCCTAAGGTTATAGACAGGAATAATCAGTCAGGTACCATGGCCTCAAGAGAGCCCATGGCTCCAGAAACCTGCTTTGCTGCAGGATATCTTTCCAGTCCACTGGAACTGCTGTTCTTGTAAGTGCTTCCCAGTACGTCCGTCACAGTGAGAGGGGTCAAGAGCAGCTCAGCTGAGTGCATCATCTCAGCCTTCACCACAGACCAGACACTGTTCTTGGAAGACTTTTGGTTTTGGTGTTTGAGATATGCATACTACCATTTTTGGAGTTTTTCTCAGCGGTGGTGACTAAAAGATTAGTAAAAATGGCTAAGCAATCTTGACCTCCTGCTTCCAGAAGCTATGAGCAGAGCACAGTGTTACCTGACTCAGTGAGAAGGCAAACATTAGCCACAGCTCTGAAACCCACCGGCAATTGAAGTGTTTGCTGAGGCTGTTGGTCTTTCAGCTGTCACCCTGTCCAAGTAACCAGGAAGGGCTATGACCAGGTTTCTGTAGAGATTGAGAACAGAAAATTGCTCAAGCTTCTGAAGCAGCATCACAAGCAAAAGTCAACTTTCTTCACTCCGTCCCTTTTCAACGCATGTATTTGGCTTTTGATGCCCATCAGTCTGCATCTGTAATGAAGTCTCATAGATGAGCAGGAAAAAACCCCTTAATGACTTCCCGTCTCTGGCTACCCAACCTTCCCAACTAGCTGCTTTTTCCTAAAGTGTGGGGAACAGCAGCTAAGCACTCACATCATTAAATACTCCTTTACAGTCCATTTAGTTTGGTCTTGAATTTTATTTTTATTCTGCTGTACAAAAACAAAGAAACAACCTGGCTCCCTCTTTTGGGCTGCTTCCAAGACAAGAGAGGAGTTTTCCCTTTTCCGTTCCATATCTTAGAAATTAAGGTTGTGCTTGTAGCACCTGAAATCGTAGTTTTACTTCCTGGCCACTTCATTCTCCACACTTTGGAGTGGTTTTGTATTCAGACAGCTTGTATCCAAACTACTCGAAAGAGCACTGGAGAAGTTTCTTGCCCCACAAGCGTCAGGAAGATTAAAAAGGAGCATTTAATATCCCATAAAATGCTGAAACACTTCCCTGTGGACCATCACTCTTCTCCCCTGAGATTGTCAGGAGCACCCCCACTCCTGCTGTGTCCTTCCTACCATTCCAATGGAGGGAAAATGGTACTATCATCATTATTAGTTTCTTGACATTCTAGGGCATCTGGACTTAATGCTGTCATGGAAACTTTGCTGTGCTATTTCTGAACTCTGCCTAACGTTGAGATTGCAACAAAACTCAATCAGATCTTCTACCATCTCCCCTTCCCATCAGCACCATGCACATGCAAAGGAAAGGGCTCCACTTTGCATTCTTAAGAGCAGCACAACATAAATACATGTGCCTAAATCTAATTTATAATTGGGGGGGGAAGCTTTTATACAATAAAACTACCTAAAAGCTGGCATACCCCAAATTACTAATTTTTTAGTCCTCTGACAGTACATTGCACTGTCAAAGCTGTACATCAGATCACCAAAAGTTATCAAAATCATTAGATACACACAGAGGCTCTAAAATTAGTGTGTGAAATCAGATTTTGACAAACATAGCTTCTGTATATGGAATTTGAATACTTTTTTCAGGTCAATAACAACTAAGCCCAACTTAAATCAAGAATCTGTAGGAAGAAAAATGTCTTCCTATTTCAAACTAGGAATAAAATTGGTTTGCATGAACAATCACTTAAAGCAATCAATCATGATTGCAAAGGGTCACCAGAAAAATACTCAGATCAAATAGTTCTTTTAAATACCATGTGTGTTTCAACAATAGATCATAAATAAGCATCTTTAATTTTAATGCAAGACTTTAGATGTGTATAGATACCACACAAACTGTATTTTAATATATAAATAGAAAATTACACAGGTGCAATTTATGCTAATTACCATATTAAAAATAAATAAATAACCAAATAAACACATATAGGGCAGCAAAAGCATATACAAAAATTAATCCAACAAGAATTAAATCATCAAGTTATCCTGAAACTGCTTGGGTGCTCTGTGCTGACCACCTGAACCAATAAGTGCACGATGGAAACGAACTAGGCAGGTCCAAAACTTCCCACTCCTGACTGTGAGGAGGTGATTTGTTCTTGTAAAGCTGCCAAGCCTGTCACCGAGAGCAGCTCCAAGACCTTCAATCTCATTTAAGAAGCACATTCAATCATGGGATTGATCTGATGATTTCATTTTGTTCCCCTCCCTCCCCATTTGAAAATTAAAATCTTGTAATTTTAAATTTAACATTACTCAGCTCTTTTAATGTTTCAAAACAGTGGGATTCACAATGACTCAAACACTTGGCTTACAATGAAAATCCATATGATTAATATTTGTTTGAGATCCAACATAAGAAGGAGGGGGAAACTACAGTTTCTGCAAACTGGCAAACCTATTCTGCCCCTAAACAACTAATTTTATGTAATAGGTGGAAAGTTAAAAGTGCCTTTTGCTCTTCAATACAATCAGGCATTTCTATCTTTCCCCTTCTTTCCAGCTGAAGTCCTTTCAGAAGGCAACAGATTGCAAGAGTTACAGTAACCGAATAAAAATTTGGATTACTGTATGTCAGCATTTCACTTACTTTTGGAAGCTGAGACATCGTAAGGGAAAAGCCAGTGAACTGCACAACCATTTGCTAGCAAATGTCCATCTATATTTGTATTAATTCTCTCTTTCACCAACCTCCAGCCCAGTTCTCACTATGGTATTTCCCCTAACGACAGAGATTCACGACAATCAGCAGCACACCGAGTGTCATTGATGGCACCCGAGCCGATCTTCTTTCAAAGCATTAAGAAGTTCCCCTCTTGGTTTTTTGTTTCAGGCTCTCTGCAAAGACAGTTTGGTTGTTCGAACACTGCTGAACACTTGAACCCAAGCCTAAGCCTAAACAGCACTATCTTTTTAATTAAAGCTGCAGCTTTGTGCAGCACTGCCTCGTGTTATCTAGAAAGCTCCATGAGCTCCCTGCACCGGTATCAGGTACCAAACCACAGCCTTGAGAGAACAGCACACAGGCAACGTTTTTGGTGATCATTTGCTTTAGCTCTGTTTCGAATCTTTCACATAAATTCTATTACAAAACTCTAAGTTGCAAAACACAGAAGTTTCATACAAGGACAAAACAATAACAACTAAATTTAATTACACACTTCGGAAGATGAAGTAAGTGACAGGTCTGCATCTAGTTAGAGGAGAGAAAAATTTTGGTGGAATTTAAAAAATATTTTCTTGATTGGCAATACTCTGCATACTTTCTAAACAGCCAGTTCTGGGCTCTTGGGAGCTGCATTAATCTGAGCATTGATATTCCCAGACAGTATTAAGTACAAAACACAATCACTGCATTATCACTGTCCCTAAGTATTTACATTCCAGGAGCATGCACTGCATGTCAAGTTCAGAGATTCTGAATTTCTTACTAGTTTGATAACACATTTTAAAGGGACACCTCAGATAAAAAAAAAAAAAATAAATTACCATCTTCAGTGACACAATAGTCATAAATTAAGACTCTGGCAGAGAAGACAGTAACTGACGAAGATCACCACTTCTCTACATATTGTGGGGTTTTTTTGTATTTTTATTTCTTCAAAATCTTATATTCATAAATTTTGTGGTATTTTTAAAAATTCCATAATGGGTTGAGAGAGAACTATGTGGTTCTGTAATTAAAAATATTTTTGCAAGGTTTTCCAGTCCCACATTTTTCTTTAGAAACTGTGTGGAAAATTAAAATACTTGGACAAAATACACATTAAATATAGGAGTACTCAACTAAGCAACATGAAGATACAGTTGAAACTTTCACTATCCAACATAAATATGACATTTGTGGCAAACAATTTCTTACTTAAGATCTAAATGACCTGAGTAGTCCATCAAGACCAAGCCCTCAGGAAAGAGCTAAACTAGAGAAAGAACAGCAGTTATTTGCTGTAGCACTTTTACGACACAGAATACAGAAAAAGACATCTCTATAACCTGAAACTCATTATTTTCATGATTAACAGATGAAAGTTATTATTATAGCAGCCTTGGTTCTCAACCTATTGAATCTCTATAAGCCATCTGTATTATCCACTGTAAAAACTGCTCATTTTAAAGAAATAATAATTTAATACTGTCTACAGTTTGCCTTAGTAGACTCACAGTGAGACATGTCCATATATTTATGATCTCCCTCATTTTCCTGGCCCCCTTCTTCCAAGATACCATCAGTCTGTTCTTTGGAAGCACAAATTAACTTCACCACAACTATGGTGCTTAAGAATCACAAACAAACATTGCAAAAACCCACTGAAGA